GAGTATTTTGAGGTACTTCTATAGTACTTTTCTTTGAAAAACGATTAGTCGACTACTAAAATAGTCAACGATTATTTTAATAGTCGATTAGTCATCCATTAGTCAACTAATCGTTGCAGCCCTACAGTATACCAGTTTAAAAGTATACTGTGCTATGAAAATTGATGGTTATTGTACCGTGTACATTTGCTTATCTATGATATTTAAAAAGATATAAGTGGATAGAGAATCTCACACTTAACATATTTTCAAAAGGGAGACTTTTTGATATACTTCAATTAGGAAATTTTTCAATTACAGTAAAGCTTTTTCAACCAAAAATAACCCTTCCGTGGATTCTATGAAACTGCGATATTTTCTGAGATGGTTATCATACTGTGAAATCTCATATCGTTACACCTCCATGTTCCTACAGTGGCCCATAACAGACAAACCAAACACAGGCTCTGTATAGGGCCATTCGGTTTTCACATCAACCACTGCAGTAAGAAGCCCCTCTGCTTTGATGGCATCCAAAAACACAGTTTTTATTTACCCATTTATTTGTTTTTACCTGAAACTCCCTTAATCAATGGTGGGGTTTTTTTTGTTTTTTTTTTGATTACCTGGTCCATTTGTTTCTGTTTTCCGGAGAGGAAGAGACCTCTGCAGATAATTCTGAAGAAATTTTAAGAGAGACATTTCAGCTGGTTGCAATCTGCAATCATTCCTGGACACCTCTAAATCTCCCTAAATCTTACACACTGCTATTTTAAGGTATATTTTTAGGTGGTAACAGGTCTTTATGGCAGCTCATCTGACATCTTCAAGAGCAGGTGAAACTCATGTCTGTAGCTCGTCAACCAACAGTCATGGATTTTAATGCCAAGAGAAGGAAAAAGAAATGACTAAGGAGGGAAAACACCAAAAGGCTTTATTCTGAGTATCAACACTCACTGATAACTTTATTCCTGTATTCCTACATTGCTCTACGATTATGAGCAACAAACAGTTAACTGCCCCAGCAACAGATGAAAGTTGTATACTTTGAGTTATATTGGCATATTTTGGTGAAACAGTGTTGTCTGGGACGCAAGTTTTTCAGAGCCCCCTTTAAAGCGTACAGGCGGTGAATGTTTGATACTCAGAACGTATGTGTTTGATGGGGTGTTCCGTTTTCTAGATATTTGAAGAAGCCCAGTATGATAGATTAGGTGGTGGTCAGCTATTAATGGTTGGTCGTCTGCCACACTGAATGCTATGGCGCCGGGTTCAGACTGATATACAGCATTGCATCCCAGCTGTGCTCAGTTCACCCCTTAAGTAATAAATATTGTTAGCAGGGAAGGTTTCGCCTGCCTAACTCCAATATATCTCACACCCACTGAGACTTCCCGGCTCTTGATTAAAAAATACATTTGTGAAGAATGCAGCAGATCAAATGTGTAGGCCTGGCTGTGTTCAGATAAATCTGAGCTTCTACACAATACACTCCAGTCAGAAGCGTTGGCTTTGAAACTCTCCGTGTGAGCGGGAGAGACTAATCTGTATGCCCTCGCCGCACTGCAAAATATCTTTCATAGGCCAATCTTATTATTCACCCAGCCACATAAAGCTTGAAGGAAAGAGCGCAGGTGTGAATGGCTTGGCATCCTCATGATAACGCTCTCCGTGACTTTGTAATACTAATCCAGCATCTGAGGAGAGCTAATTGTTGCACGCTCACTCTCTAATGGTGTCACTTTCTTAGCAAGGCTTGTGACATTTAAGCTTCGTGCCTTTGCTTTAGTGTGTCTGGCCCATTTATTACAAATCATGTCTGCTGTACTAATCTACGAACACCACAGCATGCTTTGAATAATGGTTGGCAACAGTGTTAATGACATAATTTGTGTGGTAAATGGGCTGAAGTATGCTGAAACACTGCAATGGTCTTCAGTTTTTTTTTCAATGTTTTGCAGTTACAGTTAATAATCAAGCAGTTTTTTTAATGCTCCATACAGAGAACCTCTAAACACTGCATTTTCACAATGATATGAACAGTCACACAGCCTTGAATGTTGTTTCCTGTCACAGTTACTCACTGAGAAAGAAACACACTCAAAAGGGCACCTCTCAAAAGTCTGTCCCTCTCTCACACAGCTGCCAGAAACAAATCTGTAATGGCTCCTCATCGTTTTTCTTTGTTTTTGATATCCTGTTTTCATCTCCGTTAGACTTGAAGCTTCAGAGTATAGATTTACAAATCCTAATTCTACAGTGCGTAAGTCTCCTACACCACAGGCAGCTTGCGAGACTGTAACAGCACACCAGACGCTCGGAGTTATCCAGTTACAAAATACCCTCGACTGCTGAAGGCACCAATTTTTTGCAAAAATAATTTGAGGTTAATTTAATCTGTGCATGTCCATGCTTCTGGGTGTCAGACCAGACTTTGAAAAGCAATCATTCACGACCTGTTACCCTTTTTAAACTGTGTATGTGTGTTAAAGCATTTTTAGCCCTGACGTCGGATACTTACCTCACAGAGTGTGAACTTTCCAGGCACAGCTGTGGAGTTTGGTGTCAATAATTTGTTTGTGTGTGGCTGGTGTCGCCCATGCAATGCTTACACACAACTTTTGGGTCGTATTTCGCCACGGCACACATGGTCGCCATGGAAAAGCACTCTGTAAGCATGTTGATTCTCTGGCACTACTTTAACCAGAGAGTACCAATCCTGAGATGAGGCATGTCGAACTCAGCTTCTTGTTGTTGTTGAAACAGTGTTGAAATACCCTAGGGATTCTGCTGGGTTTTGTGTCTGCACACAGACAATTCCCCCAGTGTCTGCTCATGTAAGTCTCAGGCCAGCTGGTCTCACAACTTTCACCTTTGACCCTGACCTTGGTGGTCATCTGTAATGTCCTCAGTGTGGAGGCAGACCAGCGGCACCAGTCAAACTTTTGCTGTAAACAGTGGCAGTCAGACTGGGGCGGATCTAACATTACAGGTCACGGCCGGCCAAGGCTGTGAAGTCACGTCCTTAGTAGATGTGCAGTAATTGGTCAATAGGTCAGTCAACTGATTAATAATTAGCTATTTAACTGTAACCCACAATAAGAATTTCGTCCGATTAGTACTATCAGATGAAACGTTAAAATATTGAATGTAGTAAACTGGTGCTACGGGGGGAAATAATGAGATAGCGGAATTTGCTGCTCAGGCTGGAGTGATGTGTGCCACTCGGAAAATGCCATGATGCCGCTTCTGGAAGATGACTACAGCACCCCTCAACAGGTTTATGAACCAGATGCAGAGGTGAACACCTATGTGAGAGACAAACCTTCTTCATTGCTGCTGTTACGTAACAGTCAGTTTAACGTCTGTCTGTTTAGCACGAGCTAACATAGCAGCACCGGCTAACATACATACCATCTTAAAATGTCACCTTGAGCTCTTGAAAATAACACAGTGCATGTTTCTGTGCCTTGACTATGTTCTGACATTTTATTGACAAAAAGGTTATTGATGAATTGAGAAAATAACTGGTAGATTAATTGATAATTAAATAATTGTTATTTGCAGCCCTATTCTCTGCCAAGTGTTGAATTGTTTGCTTATGGTATTTGAAGAGAGATATTTTTGTCTTAAGGGCTGAGGCTGCTGAAATGTGCACTTTTTATGGCCAGATGCATCCAGATATTCAGAGTTTCCTGCTGCAGTTTCATTTAAATTTTGAGTTATTGTTTGTGGAACCACCGAGTAGCAATGGTGCAAATTGGCTTTGAGACATAGACTGTAAAATTAATGGGTGTAGCCATTTTGAATTCACCCATGGGTTTGTGCATTCTCAGAACCATCGGTTGTATTCGGCGTCTGACTTCCGGCAGATGGCGATACAGCCTCTGGGGGCAGACCCCCAATTTTTTGGCATTCCGGTTTGATTTGGGCGGAGGAGGCGAATTTCCGTTTCCGACTTCCGCTTATATATAAGTAAATATGCTGAACCATTGTGATGGATTCAGAGTTTGCAGTGACGCCAATTATGTTCCGCCTCGTTAGTTCACCGCACAGACCGTTTAACTTTTAAACTGCAGGCAGCTCAAACGTGATTGGTCAATATCACGCGGACTACAAACAGCCTACAACCGGAAACCAGGGCTCTTCCGCTCTTCTTCCGGAGGCAAGATCTCCGGGGTTTGCCTACAGACTCTACATTCACTGAATATAGAGTCTGTATATAGAGACTAGGTTTGTGGACTCCTATTTTGAAGCCTTGAGTTCAGCATTCCAGTTGTCACATCTTGGTTTTTTGGAGCCAGAGGATGGTGCTGTGAAGGAGCGAGGGTGAATCTGACTGAGAGGCCGAGGACTTTCTGCAGACAGCCTGTCATTTAAAAGGACCCGCCCTTAATTGCATAACTTTAAGCCTTAATTAAATGTAAACTGGTGAGTTATAAGAAAATCCAACCCCCTGTACAGTTGTCATGGGTCAACATGCAAAAGTTTACACAAAGGTGGCTGTAAGGCACTATACTTTGGTTTTGGACCTGGTGTGAGTGTGTGTGCATCATGACAGGCTTTTCAAGGTAAAGGACCTATCACTGATGATGGGTTTGTGTCTTAAGAGCCCATTTTAGCCCTGGTTCTCACACGCCACTTATGTGCGTGTTACTTAGAATCTGCTGACTCTGGTTGAGGGACCTCATGGGAGCCTATTAAGCAGACAAACCTGGCAGCATAGTCTTTTAATGTAGGTAGCTGCGCTTAACATGAGAGCAAGTGACATCTGGTCTGCTCACCGTTGGGCCTTGAAAAGTGCCAGTTGTGCAGAAAATGTTCTCCACAAAACCCTCAGCTATAGTGATTAAGTCGAGCTGAGGTCCTTCATCATTTTGTTTGTCATTCATCAAGAAGTTGCAGGTGTGCTGATGATACCTCTCCATTAACAGCTGATGGATAATCCAATTAGAGAAGCATGGACGTAATGTTTCGGCTGATGCACCAAAGCTTACTAAATGTTTTTTCTGTCTTTACAGGGGAGCCTTTTCAGTGGTGCGCAGATGTGTGAAGCTGTGTACAGGACAGGAGTATGCCGCCAAAATAATCAACACCAAAAAGTTATCTGCAAGAGGTAAGCACACACATACTTCAGGTTTTCATCACAGGTGTTGCTCATTCCTTCGTAACACAACATATACAAGGGCTGTGTGTCCTGTGTGCTGACTGGTTTGCATACTGGGGTTTCAAACAAAAAGAGCGTAGTTGAATTTCACTATTATTTCACATGCTAAAAGTACAAGGCACAACCATACAAGAATGACTCATTTGTTCATAGTTTCTCTGTCCCAGTGGTCACCTCCCCACCTACAGTGCAGACAGTTATATAAGTGATATCTAACAGCAATTACCCTCTCAGATGGTGCTGCGTAGGACAGCATTTTTATCACATTGGGGTCTGTGTATGAGAATAGGAGGACAATGGAACAGTTACAGAAGTTTGTGACAGAAAAGTAGAGCTACTACTGTGCTGCAGTGGCCCCTCTGTGGGCTATTCTGAACACCAGCTTCACCTTTTACACTGCCCCTGATTTCGGGATTCTGTGGTTTTAATTCTGTGTAATGCACAATGGTTGCCATTTCGGATGGGCTCTCGGGCTTTCCAGGGGAGGCATGGGTGACACAGGGCTGTAATCCCGTCCTCCTTGAGTCTGATTCCCATAAGCACGGCAGCATTTACAAGTGGACCAGATAAAATGAGAAAGCTGCTCTTGATTGGTCAGAATTTCCATGTGGGAAAAATCCAGGAAGTAAAGCAAACGTTGAAGAAGAGTACACTTGCAAGATAAATGTGACACTTTCTAATGTCACAATGGAGGGACAACTACGCAGGTTGATTTTAGCGCTGCTCATCGTGGACTATATTGCTGTCATTGTTCATTTTAGTCAAACCATACAGTTTGAAAACGAGGCGCGGCTCCAACTAGAAAACAATGTTTTGATGCATTGGATGTGCTGAATGTGCATATTAAGGCAGTACAGGAGGAGGTGCACATTAATAATCCTCCCGGACTGTAACATGCTCATGTTTAACCCAAACAATGTGTAATGTGACTGCAGTTGGTTCACATCCAGGTCAGAACACGTTCTCACCACAAACCAACTGCACCAGAGTTCATTTGTAACCAGACTGAGACCACCTCTTCAAGAAGGTCTTGGTCCTGTTGTTTTGGTGCACACCTGAGTGCGATTGCTGTGTTCACACCTGCCCAAACGAACCGGGTGTATCCTGCCTCTCGCCCAATGTCAGCTGAGATAGGCTCCAGCCCCCCTGCGACCCTCAAGAGGATAAGCGGTTATGAAAATGGATGGATGGATGGAAGATAGAGTCATTCAGGATGCCACAGTTTATTCCACACTACTGAAGCTGCTCCTCTTTTTCTCCTCTTTGACTTACACTGAAGCATCCTGTAGCAAAAGTTAATCTCTGTTGCTTTCCCTGGAAGTAAACCATTAAATAATCAGCATGGAGAGAGAGATATTATAAAGCAGTGAAGGCTCTTAGCTCTGAGTTCTTTAAAAGTGATTGCTTGTGAATTTGGTGATGGGAAGTTAAGCTCCTTCTACTGTTGCAGTCATTTTAAATAACTGGATGAAGCCAAATGCTTCATATTTAATATAATGTTTTAACATATGTTAATGTACTGTAATAATATTTTAGTATATAATCATTTTAATGTTTTAGTAAATCAAAAAAGATCCTTTAAGCACCTTAATTAGTGCCACAGGCTGTGCAGCCAGTAACAATTTAAGCCAAAGCCAAGGCTAAATGCCACGACCATGAAGACCAATCCGGCACCACAGTGGTCGCTGTGGCTCTTCACACCACCACTTGCCCAGTGTAAATCTCCTGCTGCCCCTCCAGCCTCGTAACTGGAGCCCCACTCCCGAGGCCCTGCCAGGTGGCACCGCACTGATACTTGACTGTTAGCCTGCCTACACACACACACACACACAAACACACACAAACACACACAAACAGAGCCACAGCTTGTGTGTGAAAATGCCCAGTGTGGTGGAAGAGGCATTTTAACAGGCATTAGCAGAGGGCATCAGCCTAGAATGTCTGGTCATATCTGTTTGTCAGTCTCAATCAGGACTGCATCATTTGTCAGTTAACCTGTGTGTTGTGTCAGTAATACTTTTTGTAAATGTGCATGATTTATGATAGTGTGCTCTTGTGATGACATGATGTGGAACAGGGATGTTTTTAAGGATCAACCAGCTGGAGACAGCACACACAGTTGTTTGAAAATGTTAAGACTAGAGAATGCAGACACTTGGAAACAGCGTAGTGTTAATAAATAAATTAGATGATGATGTAGTGCACTTTCGGCATTGTATTTCAACATGCTATTTCCAGCCGCAGCAGACATTATTAAAAATTAATATTGCTACCTTGACTCATAAAATTTTGTGCAGTGGAAATATAAATCTGTTTTCTGAAGTTTTAAAAAGATGCACGATATACAGACTGCTGCTTTTTAGCTGTTTAAGCTTTTGTTACTTATCCATGACCAAATATGTAATAAGTTGGTATAATCAATATTTTTTATAACAGTGTATGAAGTGATAAAGGGTCGCTCGTATTGATGAACATACAGATAATTATCAACCAGATTTATGGCTCTTCTCTGCTTTATGGTAGTGAGTTTAAAAGGGCTGCCCCCGAATAGTCGATCGAACTTTAGTCGACCAGAAAGTTCGTTAGCTGGCAAGATTTCATTGGTTGCTTAGTTGCAGATCTCACGTTTCGCAGGCGGTTAAAGACGCAGCATGTGTATGGTCCTTAATTTCCAGGGCTGGTACCTGCGGTTATTCCACAGGCTAGTTAATAACATGTCGGGCAGGAAATCCAAAGTGTGGGATCATTTTGAGAAGGTGAAGGAAGAACCCAAGGTGATATGTAAACTCATCTTCATTGGTCGACTACAAACATGACGTATCATCTGAAACATGGAAGTAGCTACATGCCCATTAGCCCACAGCGTCATTAACAGGCGGCTCGCTCAGTGTGTGACGTGCACTTGTAGATAAAATATAGGCCTATATTAATGAAGGTTCATTAGTACGGTTTTGTATTTCTCTGTAATGTAGCACAGTGTTAACAATGTTACTGATACTATTCTTTCTCACACCTTCAACTCAAACCATTGTGTGTCCCCGCCCAAAATATATCATTTGATAATTCAATTAATATCATAAACATGTGGGCGACTAGTCGACTAATGGTCCTAAATGACGACTATTGGTCGACTAGGAAAATTCTTAGTCTGGGGCAGCCCTACAGTTTAAGCCTCGTCAATGTTATTGTTAAGATGTTTGGCGCACAACTTTATGATTCGCCCTTACCGCTCTCATAGCCTGGTTTCCAGCCACAGCATGCAGCTTTCTTTCTTTTTTTAACGAAACAGCGCCAAAGACCCACTGCACACTACCTGCTCAGCACCACACAGCAAACAAAACACAATTAAAGACTTGATGATGGTGAGGAGCTGGTAGAGACCAAAAACAGAGCAAATAGACAGTGAATATTGGACCTAAATTTGCCAGTTGGGCAGAAACACGACTGTAAGTGAATGATAATGTTACTCCGTTACTACTAGATGTGCACATAAGCAACTAACAAGATCGCCATATGAATTTAAAAGTGATGTGTTAATATCGTGTCACAGCTTGTTTTCTGCTGCCCCTAAGTGGCCAAAAAATCAGTTATTGCAGGTTTAGATGGCTCAGTTTTTCCAACTTTCTTTAGTTTTTCCTTAGTAACTTTTTCAAGTGGATGTTTAGCACTGCTACTGTTACATAATATTTTCAGTGTAGGAATGTATGTGTGTCCACAACATGGGAAAAAACAGGTATTAAGAGCTTATGTTGGAATTTTGCTTTGTATGTAAAAAATAAAAAAAAGACAAAAGAAAAAAAACAAGATGACAAACCTTTTCTAAAATATACACTGCCATTTGAATGCTGTGTGCCATCATCCTAGGCAGCAGTTGTCACACATTTTGACTCTATGTCAATGCAGCGAGCTGCTTTTAATGAGATTAAACCCATCCTAGATTATCCAGCTGCTATTAGCAGGAGGCTAACAGTTAATCCCAGCAATTGGCTCGATGAGACCCAAAGCAACACACACAGACACACACACAATGAATAATAAACCTTTACGTTGCGCTATCATTGGACCTATACATTTCACTCTAGCTGCTTTATCAGGGAGTGCAGCTGCTTGCAGCTTCCCACCATATTTCTGAGGCACAGCATAATCTCCCTGCTTCTACATCTGATAGGAGGACTGATCTGACCTGACTGGGTGGTGCGCGAGGCTTGCGCTGCGCTCCTTACTAATGGATGAGCCATGTTCTATGAAACAGCAGAGCAGCGTTAGAGCCGGCAGAGCTGCTGCATACTACTTCTACTCCAGGTCCTATTCATAGCTCCATGACCTATCTGACATGGGCTGCCACAGCCAGGTTTTATGGCTGTCAGGATGGCTTGCTGCTCCACTTTAGAAGTGGGATTTGGTTTAGGTGGCTTTGTTGTTGCACTGTTTTTTCAGGCAGCAGGTAAGGTCGCTGAGATTAGAGCCTTGGTTGCAGCAACTTAAGAGGAGCGTTTGCTCAGAACTGGCAGATGGAGGTGGAAGCCGAGGGGAGGGAGGGGTCATGCGAGAGAAGGCACCCCAGGCACTTGGCAGCTGAGGGCCATGCGCCTGTGCGCCTACATGCCTTTAGCACGGGACTCTCATCTGACTCTCTCTTTCTCTCTGACACACACACACACACACACACACACTCAAACAGATATTCAGACAGACATAGCAGAGGAGCTGAGACTGTGATGCACTCTGTCAACTGCACAGTGAACTCTATCAGTAATCTATTACCGCCACAACAAGAAAAGATTAAAGACTTCTAGTTAATTGCTGATAATATTACACACAAACACACACAGCCAGGGTTCTCCTCTGTGTTTAATGTCTTTCAATCACTCCCGCCCGACCTCTTGCAGCCCTGAAAAGGTTAATGCCTATCCAGCACATGTCAAAAGGAAATGTAGGCCAGGTCTGTT